CTCCTTTTTGGGCTCCAAACAACATGAAACCCCCCATATGGAATGCACAATGAGGAAACTCCAAATATTTCTTAACCCTACTCCCTCTCTATCCTCCTTGGACATTTTTCTTCACATTCTCTTTCTCGCTCCTCTTTTATGGGCCTCTCTCTCCACCTTCTCCCTCTTGCTAGCCCTTAGGTCTCTCTCTCCTCATTCATGTGGTCATACTCTCATTGGGCCGCCTTTTATAGACCCCAAGAGCCTAAAACGTGCTATTTTCGAGCCCAAGCTTGCCTAATTTCTGGTTGGCTGGATCCCACCTCTTGAACCTAGTCGTCTAATCTAGGCACTGGATCTCGAATCTTGGCTTGGATCTTCTGATTCACCGCCTCACCACACAACTTAATCACCGTCATCAGATTTGAAAGCCTTGTATCACTGATGTTACCAACCCTTTGAACCACGAAATAGCTTTGCTGGGCCAGAGTGCGGGCCCCACAAGGCCAACATTTGGCTCGCTCGCCCATGCATAGCTCGTGCTGCCAACTCGCTGACTCGTTCCGTGTTCTAACCGCTCTGGCCTCGGCCTCCGCTTTGCTGTCTCCAGCTGTGCAGCTCCGGCGCTACCATGCAACCTTGCCTTCGATCGACGACAAAGTATTGTGGATTTATTTGCTAGCCGAATTTGAACCCCAGGTCGTGGCAAGGAAAACATTCCCACGTCAACTGAGCTGAGCTCAGTTCCTTATATTCCTTATATATATATATATATATATATAAATGAATAATAATAATAATAATAATAATAATAATAATAATAAAGTATTCCAGAATTTGATATTTTCGGATAATAAAGTTAGTCTTCCTTGAAAACAAGGGGATAACAAATGCACCATTAACAAATTTCAATCATCTGACATAAATCTCGAGGCGTGACACAAATCTCGAGACATTTTTGAGCAATGATTATTTAAATTTCAATTAGGATTCATCTAGCACTTCGATTTCAGCAAATTTACAGTCAAATTGACCCGCTCAATGAGACAAACGTGATGACACAAATTGGTTAAATCCTAATCAAATCAAGCCCAGATAAAGCCATTATGCAGATTTTGAAAGCTTCATGTGCCTAATTGGAAGGCCAAATGAATTCCAAATTTGATAACTTTATAGTTAAATCGAGCATCTTGACGAGACAAATCGAACAAGCCTACGATTAATCAATTTTGACACCATTAAGACCTCGATGTCCATAGAACACGTCCAATCGAGGGCTTCTCTCTCGGCCATTTTATTGAGTGGTCCATATACTTTTTCTTATTTGTAGCCCAAACATTATAAACAGAGCTATTCCCCCTTGAGGAGAGATCGAGACCCCAAGCCCGAGGATTACCAAATCTTGGAGGAGAAGTGGAGCTCCTACATTCTACTCCGAAGGTCCACTGAATGTCCCTTGTTCCTGCAGTCGCCGACCATCATCAACAATCACTTTTCGGCCACTATCGACCACCGTCGGCTACCGCCTACTTTTTGCGCCGAAATCCCTTTGGTGGCCACAACGTGCGTTGCGGAATCACAACACATTGTGGAACAACGAACCACCCAACGAAACAACACGTCGTCCTGAACAGCGGACAACAACACCACTTAGAGACAGGATATTGGATTCCCAACAACTATTACTAACTACAATCACCCCTAATCACTATGCCACAAATATTGTATTTTGAGAAAGTATGTAGTTCTCTCATTCCTATGGGACAATGACTTGTGCATGTAATTATTAATTTATAGTAGATTATTTTGACTGGGTCAGACCCTGTGATTTTTTCTCTTTCTATGTTCTCACCTAAAAACTTGTACTGTTTCTACTGGTTGTTTTCTTTTTATCGAGCTTGTGCTGGATTCTCGTACAACGCTAAGAGGATAATTCATTACTCTACTGCAGCTAATCTTCTAGCACGCATCAACTGTTATTGTCCAAATCTAACTTATAGATGATAGCCTATCATTCGATAGAATGTTTTTCCCACATTAGAAGATGTTATAGTGTTTCATTAGTATTGGAAAGAGAAATGAATTTGGCTCAAGATCAAAATTCGATAAACACCGTTTGCTTGCCTTCTTTTGGTTTATGCGCTAGTTTATTTTGTCTTATGTTTTTATTCAGGCCAAACTTTACTACACAGTTTTATCAAAACAAACTAAACAACCTAAATCATTTGAATTAGATTTTTTCTGTGCCCTTTAAAAAAATGTTTTTACGACACTACCAACCAAACATTCAGGGCATGCCATTGTGTGGAAGATTTTTTTTTAGGAACACCATAGGGAATTTTATTGGTACTAAGCAAAAGGTAAAATAGCCGGCTGGAGGTTCCTAATACACCCCAAAATACAACTTACACAAATAAAATCTAAGGACCCTCCACCGAGAGTTACAACATACACAACAAATCTAAGAATAGAAGGAAAAATTCAAAAAATGGACAAATTAATCCTATCACCTTGTAAAAGAATAAGACAAATCAAATGGTAAAGAATTAGAGACAAACACCTTATGCAAAGAACAACCTAATCGAGCCAACCAATAAGCTCGTTTATTACCTTCTTTAACAATATGAGACCAAGAGTTATGTAAATTCGATGCGAGCTAAAAAATTTTCTTCATTTGCATCTGTATATTCTACGGATACTCCAGCTTTAACGTACAAAATTTCCACAATAAAAGTGATTACATCTCGACCTGAATTTTCCTATATTTACAACATTTAGCAATATATAAGGCTTTCACCATAGCTTCAGCTTCAACGAACAAATGAGAAACATGAACCAATGGAGCCTCACACCAAGCTCAGAAACTGCCAAAATAATCTTTAAAAACACCACCACAACCAACATCTTGATTTTTAAAACTTCCATCAACATTAATTTTTATAACTCTAACCGGAGCATTCCAGAGAATCAAACTAATAGTAGACCGAATATTCAAAGATACGTAAGTTTAGCTTCAAAAAGACCTGAAATACATGTTCAGAGGCTTTTTAATAATTCCAAATTTCAACACTTTATGCACAAAAATAATAATTTGAGAGAACATACTAGTAACCACCGCAGCTGTCTTCATGTTTAACAACATTCCTCATCTTCCAAAGAAACCAGAAAATAATAAGAGCGATTTTCGAAAAAATGTTATCACCGTATTTTCTCCAAACATTACAGCGTTTCTCCACCGAGTCCATATGCATCACATAACAACTCCTGTTGAAGAACCTGAAAACCAGCTTCCAAACTTTGTTAGCAAAACCACAAGAATTGAAAATATGATTAATTGATTCTTCCTCTTTAAGGCATAAAACATAGCAAGAAGGAATTCTCAATCCTTTATGTTTCAAAATATCATCCGCCAAAAATAGGTAATAAAATAATCTCCAAATGAAAAAAATGGATTCTGAAGGCTTTATTAATGGATTCCAAATCCATTTAAGATCTTTCCCCTTAAAATTTTGACATGAATTGGCACAAATATTCGAGATAGACATACCAAACTTCCCTTTAACTTTCAGCTTATTCGGCATATTTTGAGAAATAGGAATGTTGGTAATAATATAACCATCATCCATGCTTACATTATCTAACAACACTCCCTCATCCCAACTGTCACTCCTCCAGCAATCAGAAACAATAAAGTTAATATCAAAAGGTCCTCCATAGTAGTTCACCAAGGCACCATTTCCCTTCAAATCATCATACCAAAAGGTGCAATTACCAATGTCAAAATCCTAACAGATTAATTTCTCAACCTCCAAAGAGACTTTAAGCATTTCTTTCCAAGTAACAGAGTACTTTTTAGAAACCGTAATAGTTAGATGATGGCAACCATCACATTTGCGCAAAGATAGTTACCAGCCCTAAATCGCATCCATAAATTTTTTCTTCACAATGTCTTTAAGGCACCTGAAGCCCAAACTACCAGCACTAACAAGTTTGCACATTTTCTCCCAATTGGTCCAATGCCCCTTATGATCCTTACGAGCCCAAATAAATTTGTTGAACAATTTTTCCAATCTATCACATAAATTACCAGACAATTTCATAATTAGCATATTATATAAAGGGATAGGAGTAATGATACTTTTAACAAGGGTAATCCTGCCTCCAATAGATAAGAAAATGTTATCCCACCAATTGATTCGTTTGTTTACCTTATCCAACAAATTCATAAACAATTGACTCATTATTTTTTCCTTTGTCCATCATGAAACCCAAGCAAGTCAAAGGAAGTTCACCTGCAACACAACTAGTAAACTCTTGAATCCAGTTCTTCTTCAAAGAAGAAATGTTTCTAGGACAATATGAAATGCATTTAGCCATATTAAATCTCATATCCGAGGCCTCCTGGAATTGATACAGCTCTTTCCAAAGCCTTTTGATAGAAGTTTTCTTAGCATTCATAAAAATCACATGATCATCCGCATGAACAAGATGAGAAATCCCTAACCTTCCTTTATAAGAAAAGTTACTATGATAGGTATTAAAAAAAAAGCTTAACCTCCTTGATATATAGTCAAAAGCAAGAATTAAGGTTAGGAAGACTAAAACGATTCCGGGATTTGATAAAGCGCTACCCGTAATATTGCTTGAAAAAGTACATTGTGAAAAATGTACATCCAAACTAGAATATGTTGTGCTTATGTCTTATGATTGTCATCAATAAAAGTTATTATGAGCTTTGAAAATAATGCTAGAACAACTTGCTTCAAAAAGCTTACCACATTGTTTGTGCTACGGTTATTAAGTGTATCATTTGAAAAATATTCCAAACTCAAGTTACCGACTTGATTGAAATATTGGATTTGGTTCTTTCCTTAACCTGCTGTTAAAAACTGGTTGAATAAGGCTAGTGATTTTCTCACATAATTACTCTTAGTATAATTGTTTTTGTCATCTTTTTCCTAGTTATCAGTAGCACATCTTGATAGCATTTGGTCACATGTATGAAAATTAACCTTTTACAGGTTGCTGAAGCACTTGGCTTTCAATTGTGCGTTAAGTCTTGCTTGGATTACTTGGAAGCAGTTCCCTGGGTTGGAGATGAGGAAGAAAACGTTGTATCTTCTATTCGTTGTCTTGGAATTGATAAATACGGAGTTAGTCCAATCCTGAAACGAGTCTCTTCAGATATTTCCTACCCTCCCAATGATACACTTGCTCGTATATTGGAACTCGTACTCAAAAGCAATGAAGACAAAGGTCGACGCGAGATGAAGGTTTTAGTGCTGAAACTGCTCAAGGAAAACAACCAGTGGATGAGTGGATCTGCTGACATATGTTCAGAGACCTTGTACAATTCCTGCCAAACCTGTTTACAGTCACTTTTGCTTCTATTTAGAGAAGCATCTGAACCTGATTTTGTAGAGAAGGATTTATTAAAAAAAGAAACTATCACAAGACAGATAGTTCTTGAGGCAGATAATCTTCTATGGTTGGTTGAGATTTTATCTGATAGGCGTATAGCAGATGATTTTGTAGTTATTTGGGCAAACCAGGAAGAGCTGGCTTCATTACATTCTAAACTATCAATTGTGTCACGGCATCTCATTAGCTGTATCACTGCTAGGATTTTTGTTGGCATTGGAAAAGGGGAGATGCTTCCGTCGAAGGATGTTCGTCAAATGCTTTTGCAAGTTTGGTTGCAGCAGCTTATTGACGACTATGGCTGGTTGCAGCATGGATGTCGGTCTTTTGACCGTAAAGTTGTGGAAGAAGGAATTGGACGAACCATTTTGACTCTTCCGTTGGAAGATCAGCAAACTATGATGCTTTCTTGGTTGGGCAGTTTCCTGAAAGTTGGTGATAACTGTCCAAATCTTCAAAGAGCTTTTGAGGTATGGTGGAGGAGAACATTTATAAGGCCTTATCTGGAGCAGCGAGGGAATACTTTGCAATCTGATAGGAAGTTTGATTAAGCTCAGGTATTATTTTACTAGTTATTGAAAAAAAATCTGTTGTGAAGGATTGGAGTCTATTGTGTGTTGCTACAAGATTTTTGGTGTTGAAAGTAACTTCATGGAAAATGTAATCTGTTGCTTTACATGGAATTTTATATGCAATATGTTTCTGCCATTTTTGGAACTTAAAAAGAGAGTGTACTTTGTTTTCATTTATCTTAAGCTAAAGTTGATTCTTTTCTGAGTGGGCTGTAATTGCACTTCATGTTTTCGTTTGCCTGCAGGCAATATTGTTTATTAATGTCTTTGATTGCTCTTTGCTTGTTCTGGTTCTATTTATTTAGGATGTCTTTGGATGCCAACAATATATATATATATATATATATATATATATAAAAGTTTGATCGTCGGCCAACCCCATAGTGTGCCTGAAATGCTGGCAAGTGTGCCTGATCTGCTTATGTTGTCTCTCCACCTTTAGTGCCAATATTTGAACATCACCCAATGAGCAATAAGGTTGTTGCTGGACCACATGACTGATAGAAAGCTTTAGGTCTTCCAAGTACCTGGCTGTCATGTGCTTCTCTGATTTTGTCAGCTCACATTTTAGCTTAAGCTGCTCAAATTTTTCCATGAGCTCCTCCACTGACAATTACCTCTACCATAGGGGGTGGAGCTTCAAGAACATGTCCTGGCTGTAGAGTGAGGTAGGTACTTCCTATTTATCTCTTTCCTCATCTTCTCCCAAGTGGCGATCTTAATCTGACCCTCTTCTATGTATCTCTCTCTCTCTCTCTCTCTCTCTTTAGGTTCTCCCCCAGAGAGAAGCATTATTCTTCAGTTTTATGATAATAAGGTTCTCCCCTAGAGAGAAGCATTATTCTTCAGTTTTATGATAATAAGTTTCACTTTTCTGTTCGCTAACAACTTCTATTAAAATATTCTCTCGACAGTCTAAAACCATTAAACGAAGTTATCTAGATTCATTCTGTCTTCAAAATTTAATAGGTTTACCTTCACTCCCAGATCTCTTTATTCTCTAAAAGTTACTTCATTTCTCAACCACCTTTAATGTTAAATTCCAAAGCATTGTGGCCTTCCTCTTTATTTGAATCATCTCTATTGAATGGATTTATATTTTTTTCCCTCCCTCAAATCTCACCATCATGGTTGACGATTTCCTCCTCTGGCTCCCTTCCTCAATTTTAGCAAGCCTTTATTGAATTTGTTGGAGTTCTCACTACACCTGTTCCATGGTAAGATCTTTAATGATATCTGATACTTGTCTTCTCGGTAGCATGTTTAGGGTTTAGATTTGGAGAGGTGAAAAGGGGTGTTTATATTTGGTTTAGCGTGGGAAATTTTTTTTTGTGTGGATTAATCTTGGTAATACTAGGATAAGACTAATGTTAGATTTGCTTGGAAAGCAAATAATAACAAGAATAAACTACAAGAAGAGGGAAAACAAATAATATTACTGAAGTCATAAGAAATTACAACATATATGACACAGTTGGGGTGAATTTGAGGTGGTGGTGGTGGCTATTAGAGGCATGGAAGGGCAGTGGCAAGATGGGTAAGTGTATCAAATAGCGGGTATGATGAGGAAATGGCAGTTGCTTGTTGTCCTGACAATAACAACCACAAAGGGGTGGGTAGTGTAACAAATAGCGGGTATGATGAGGAAATAACACCCGTTTATTTTCCTGACAATTTAAACCAAGAAGGGGTGGCTAGATAATAGTGGAAAATAATGAACGATGGCGGTGACTTGCTCTCCCAGGGTCTTACCACTTGCTCTCCCAGGGTCTTACCAAGTAAGGAGGGTGATTGAAACAACAATGAGGCTATAGGGAGGATGTTTTGGGTGGTTGGAATAGCATACATGCTACCTAGAGGGTGGCTCTATGTGGGTGGAACAATAATATGGCTGAGAGAAGGCAATTCTAAGTCACCGGGATTAATGGGGTGAGGATGAGGGAAGGGAAGAGTGGTCTTGAAGGGGAAATTTGTAGATAAAACAATATGGACAAGTGTTATGGTGGTGACTATAACAAAGCTAGGCGATGGGGAATGATGTGGGAAGGACGACGAAAGGTAATCACCACTTAAGAAATGGGATATAACTGGAGCACCACTCGATTGTTGGATATAGTCTGAGAGTAGAAAGTAGAGATGTCGATGGCTGTTCCAAACAAACAAATGACAAAAACTATTCTAAAACATGGCAAAAGCAACATAAATAGTTCTAGGGTCAATATGAATGAACCCCACTCCCGATAGAAGGGAATTCCATAAATGGGAGGGTTGGCCGTTCACTACTATGCTTGGGCTAAACCGATCCAGATGCAACAATTGCTTCGCTAAGGGTACCTGATGCGCCCCTAGTGTGTGTTGTTTTTCTGCATGTTTTATGTCAATTTAAATTCACGGTAACAGTGCCAAGAACTTGACCCGCCCCGAAATTATGCAGTAATTTAGCCTTTTTAAAAATATGACCAACAACTTGACCCAATTTATATTAAGTATTTAATGTGCAAAATAGAAATGTTATATAAAATATATAAAATAGTTCACACATTAGGAGTTCTACGCAAGTGCATGTATCGCTTCAAGTAATAACTTTCTTTAAAAATCACCTTTCTTTAAAAACCACAGTATCGATCCTATGAAGAAGCGAGGTAAGTAATCCCTTAGGCTAATTCTAGTCTACTACTATAATCAATTAGTTTGGAAAGTTGATTAAAGTGGTTTTAATGTATGCTAACGAAACTAAGTTTACTAAATTAATTTCTAAACTTTAAAGTTAAATTTACCAAGACTAAACAAAGTTTTGTGACGAAGAGTTCAAATTTAAGAAAGTATCATTCCCACTATAATGAATTTTGGTTAATGATAGAGGATAAATGGTTTGAATTTGTATTGTG